CAAGCCATCGTGGCCCGTCGCGGTCCTTAGTGTCCCAACAAGGCAACAACGGTGTGCTGACTAGTGACCACTCGTGCTAGCAAGACGTACCAGCCACCCCGATCAACACTGCTCACCAGTGAGCAGTGTACCACCTACCAAGACGACCCCATCACCTCACCATCACCACAAGGAAAAAGAAGCCGACCCTGTCCACCGCCGCTTGATCGAAATGTACACACCACCATGTGTCCGTGTCGTCCTGCGTGGCCGGTGGTTGCGCATTATTTGCAGCCATCATTTTCATCTCCTTCGCGCACGGCATATACTACATTTCCATTTCCATCCATCTATATATCCTACGATCTGCTGCGACACACGAACACCATCACCAGCAATGGCGCCGGTGAGGGTGTTTGGGCCGGCCAAGTCGATCAACGTGGCGCGGATGCTGCTCTGCCTGGAGGAGGTCGGCGCCGAGTACGAGCTCGTCCACATGGATCTCTTCCAGGCCAAGGAGCAGAATAGCCCCGAGCACCTCGCCAGAAACGTACGTGTGTCCAACTCAATGCATGCATAGCTAGACCTGTCCATCCGGTGATGAGTGCTAACTATTCTTCTTGATGAGCTTGCTGCAGCCGTTTGGGAAGGTCCCGGCGTTACAAGACGGCGATCTGGTCCTCTTCGGTGAGCACCACGTATACACGTTCACATACTCACAAAATGAAGCAGCAGAAATAACCTCCATGGCTCACTCTCACTCAAGGTCTCAAACATGCACTCTAATGTGTTCATGCATGGCTTGCAGAGGCCCGTGCGATCGCGAAGTACGTGCTCCGCAAGTACAAGACGGAGCAGGCGGACCTGCTGAGGGAGGGCGACCCGGAGGAGGCCGTCATGGTGGACGTGTGGACGGAGGTGGAGGCGCACCAGTACCACCAGGCCCTGCGGCTCATCATGCTCGAGTGCTTCCTCAACCCCACCCTGCGCGGCCTCCCCACGAACCAGGAGGTCGTCTACGAGGCCGTGGAGAAGACGAAGAAGGTTCTTGAAATCTACGAGGCGCGCCTGTCCGAGCACAGGTACCTCGCCGGAGACTTCTTCAGCTTCGCGGACCTCAACCACTTCGCGAGCACTTTCTACATCGTCGACGCGACGCCGTATGGGTCGCTTCTCGACTCGTACCCTCGCGTGAAGGCCTGGTGGGAGGACCTCATGTCCAGGCCCGGTTTAGTTGCGCCCGGTTTCGAATCATCCTCACTGGTGTGACTGTGTGACAAACCACGTACTTGTAAAATTTTGCAATCTTTTCCGTCAAGAAATTCAATAAATCCATGAATAATCATTTTTTCTTTCTAATCTAGTCAACTGCACAAAAAAGTTTGGCGCCTTGTCCTGCTATTGTGATCCCTCGAGGACACCGGCATCTACTTGTGTCTTTCACGGCGTCGGTCTTTCTCTGCTAGCTAGGCGTGCCTTGTCCGGGCGTCCTTTTTTTACCCCTCTTCTTCCTTACCCTTGCTACATATAAGGTTTTTGGCCCGGTTTCCATCGTAAATGAGGCAACTTGTTTAGATTTTTGTTCGAGTTTTTCTTATGAACTGGATCAACCAAAGCCTATGGGGTTACTTTTGGCTTTGGCCGCTTGGTTACTTTTGGCTTTGGCCGCTTTTTGAGCAATATATTCATGTTGGAGAACTCTTTCCCCGGTGATTCCGCAAAAAAAATCACACAAAGACGGTGTTGCATGGCTTCTTCATGTGCAAGAGTAGAACTACAAGATAACAGTTCTACTCTCAGTGAAAGCGACGGGTCTCTTATGGAGAATATAGAGGAAATGAAGAGTATCACTGATTCTTTCTGCAATCAGCTTTATTCATGTGATGCTACAGTCGACCTGTCTCATTTTTTTGTCTACCCCTCTTCTTTCCATGTCAATTGTTTTTTCTGCAGGGAGTCCATGTCAACTTTTTTTTTTGCGGGGAGTCCACGTCAACTCTAAGAGTTAATTATGTTTTTATTTACCTCTATGTTTCATATTTTTGGCAAAATTTACTCCATTTAAGGAAAATTCCTCCATTTTACTCTATTTAATCAATTATTTGCATCTTTTTACCTTGTTAAGAAAATGAATATGGTTAGGAGGCGCTGAATATTCTAGTGTTCAAATATTCAGCAAAATGTTCATAGAGATATATGCCACATTTTCACATGATACACCCGGTTTAACTAGCATACCTCCTCCGAGATTAACTTGCTGGCCAACCAGATCCAGGGCCGGCCCTGGGGTATGGCCAGAGGGGCGACGGCCCAGGGCCCAGGGTGGGAGGGGGCCCATGAGGTAGTACACATATATAGTATAGCCCAGAAGAAAATAGATAAGGGAAAAGATTATGAAAGAAAAAACGAGATGGGCTCGGCCCTTCAGATCACTAGGTAGCTAAGCATCGGCGCACGCAAGTCACGGCTGCAAAGGAATGTGATTGAAATGCGTACGTGTGAAACAAATCGATCGATTGATCTGGCTTTTCCTGTTCGTCACTCGTCGGTTCGTCTTCGCCGTCTCATCGGCCCGTCGTTCCATCGCTCCTCGCTCGGCGCCTCGGTCGCTTGTTGTCGCCGCCACGTGCAGCAGTCCACCTCTCCGACAATATGGCAATACGTTATACATATGTCACGTCCGATTCCGTACGTATCCTGATCCATTCATCCATCCCTCAATTTCAGATTTTCAGTAGTTTTTTAGTACATCTATTCAACTATTCATCCATGATCCATCCCCCAATTTCAGATTTTCAGTAGTTTTTTAGTACGTCTATTCTACTATTCATCCATGATTCATCCTACAAAGTTTCAAATTTTTGATGTATAATTTTTCCTAATTATATGGTTCACATTACATATTCAACCATCCTAATATTCTGCCATTCTATATACATGTCTGGGGTTTCGATCATCCGATCTATGAATTTCTATTTCTTTGTATACTCTTTACTTCATAAATTTTAGGACATTAGCCTGTCATGTTGCCTAACATGCATTTGTCGGGTGCTAAAAAGGGAGAATAAGAGAAAAAATGATCTGAAAATTCAACCACTGATGGGTTCTTTGACTTAGGGGCCATGTCGTCCAGTTCGCCTAGGGCCTCCGGAAACATAGGGCCGGCCCTGACCAGATCACTAAGATCAATCCCTATATGCAACCAAAGAACAAGAAAAGATTTAAATGCAACCAGATTTGCAGATATAAGATGAAGTACTTTAGTAAAATAATAGGGTCTAATGTGGTGTAGTATAGGAGGCCTCGTCGAACCCAAACCTTAATTTAATGCCCTAAGAGGGTATTTAAGGAGGGACAAACGAAAGGATTTGG